CTGGGGCCAGCAGGTTTAAACTATGGCTCTGAACTGTGGGTTTGGATGAGTGAGATAATACCTAGTACACCCAGAAGGATCTATCCTTCCCTTTGCTTTGGCAGCTGAGCCATGCTTCCATCTATCAATATATCCAGTAACCCAATATCATGAGTTTTCTTCTATATTTTTCACTTTTGTTATAAAGAATATGGGTCAGTAAAAAGTAAGATGAATGATTTTTTAAATAGGGGAATTTAAAGTTTAAAATAAATGTATGCTTTAAAATGTTAATTTTAAAGACATAAATTTAGAAATGGAAAAATAATCCTGTTCACAAAAGTAGCAAGGAGGAGGAGATGGAGTACAATATTCATAAAATATGTAAGAATAATCTTGGCTGCGCGCAGTGGCTCATGTCTGTAATCCTACCACTTTGGGAGGCTGAGGCAGGTGGTTCACTTGAGGTCAGGAGTTCGAGACCAGCCTGGTCAACATGGCGAAACCCTATCTCTACTAAAAATACAGAAAAATTAGCTGGGCGTGGTAGTGCACACCTGTAGTTCCAGCTACTTGGGAGGCTGAGGCACAAGAATCACTTGAACCCAGGAGGCAGAGGTTGCAGTGAGCCAAGATCGCGCCACTGCACTCCTGCCTGGGTGACAGAGTGAGACTGTCTCAAACAAAACAAAACCAAACTTCGATTTTAAAAAGTCTTGGTTTCTAATGAGGCAACGTAATCATAGATTATGGGAAGGGAGAAGAGGAGAAGACATTCAATTAATAGTATTGGAACAACGGGGTATCCATTTGGGGAAAAAAATCAAGTCAGGCATTCATTTCATTCCAGAATGCGAAATAAATTGCAAATGGTTCAAAAGGACAAACATAAAAATTAAAGGAAGGAAAGAATGAAGGAAGGAGGGGAAAAAATTAAAGTTTAAAAAAATTAAACTTCAAAAAAATTAGAGGAAAACATAGATAACTACTGGACCTTCAGAAGGAATGAGCTTTCTTAAAAGGAAATCATCACAATGAAAACTTGTGCTACATTTCATTCTACAAAAATTTGTAATATACATATGTACATACTGCGTATCAAACAAGATTTAAAAAATAATTTGGAGAAAAACACTGTAAAATAACAATGTCAGTTATAAGCGTATCTAAAAGCGCCCAGATGCAGTGGCTCACGCCTCTAATCCCAGCACTCTGAGAGGCTGAGATGAGTGGATCTCTTGACGTCAGGAGTTTGAGGCCAGCCTGGGCAACATGGCAAAACACTGTCTCTACTAAAAATACGAAACAAAAATTAGCCAGGTGTGATGGCATGCGTCTGTAGTCCTAGCTACTCGGGAGGCTGAGGCAGGAGAATCGCTTGAGCCTGGGAGGTGGAGGTTGCAATGAGCAAAGATATAGCACGCACCACTGTACTCCAGCCTGGGAGACAGAGTGAAAGTCCATCTCAAAAACAAACAAATAAACAAAAAACAAAGTATATCTAAAAGCATATATTTAAAATACATACATATTTATCAAGTAAGCTCATACATAGCTTTTTTAATATTAAAGTTGTAAGGAGACTATTAAGACCCTAATAAATGTATAAATAACACTGTTTGACAATAAATAGGAATAGTTTAAAACACATGAAAAATGTTCAATTTTACCAGTAAAGCAAAGACAAAGAAACTTTAAAATTATGCAATATGTTCCCTATATGAAAGCAGTCACAATATCAGGGGAAAACAACCCCTTAGTGAGGTCTAGTCTGTTAGGAGGTACCTTTCTGTCCACCCTGTGCATTTGTGTTAGCTGGCAGAGATGTGACCCTTTCTAACAGGGAATATGGTAATTTATACCAAGAACCACAGAGATTTTTAAAATTTTTTGACTTAATTCCAACTTTAGGAGTCTATCCTATGGAAATAACCAAAATTCCTGCAATGATTTTTTTTTTAAATCAAAGCATTATTTAAAATAGCAAACAACTTAAACCAAATGTTTAAAATTAAATGAAATGATTGATGGAATGATGATAGTATAAAACACCACAGCACTGAAGAAAATTTTCCCTGCAAATTTTAACATGAAAAATAATGTTAAGTAAATAAGCAAGATACAAAGTTGTATTTTCAAGTACAATATGAACTCAACTATACAAACAAGGGAGAGGAAGTTAAATTGTGACGAACAAACAGTGTGAAATTATGGATGATTTAAATTTTGTCTTTTATCACACTTTGAATTTTCCAAATTTTCAATAATAGGAAAACAACCATTTTATAATCAGAAAGAAAACATTTAAGAGTGATCCTGGGAGAGTGCTGGACATTTAGGGGCGGGGGTAAAGGGTAATCAAGTTGCACTTCTCAGCACTCAGAGGTGGTTTTTCAGGTACCTCAGTACTCAAATTTTGTTTCCTATAAACCAAATTCTTAGTTTTGGTTTAGTGGAGGATTACAAAGAACAGCAAAAAAAAAAAGCTGGATGTCATGGAACAAAACTAAAGACAAATGAGAATAATAATAAAGAGAATTTTGAAGAAGTTTTCCAGTCATATCTTACACGTGGACTTTTAGAGCAACCATTTTTTGGTGGCTTATACCTACCTGGGCATATTTACGCAGGCTCAAACTATCACTGTCTTCTCAAATAGCTTTTCCAGTGGTGACTAGAAAGGCCCATATCAAAACCAAAATGCAGGACTGCACAACTCCTAGCTAAATTATCTTCAAGTCTTATTTAAGGTAAAGGAAATACTCCTTCAAACTCATACAAACAAGAGAGAGACAAAATGAATGTTCTAGCTTTAAGGAAGATGCCCACTCCCTTTTACGCTTTCCTTGCCTGTTTTAAGGGAGATAATGCCTGATTCAAAACATCAGTATGCCCAAAATGCATATTTGGAGCTAAAAAGTGAAGGTTTGGTGTGACCAGAGAACAACTGATGAATGGACAAGGCAGGAGAAGGATGAGTGGTGAGAGGCGGGGACACCCTGGCAAAGGGAAGGGGAGAAGCAAGCTTGGGAAGCAGCCTGCGCACATAAACCTATATACAAAGCTTGGGCAGCTCTGAACACTTGCTTTTCATTTTCTTAAAGGTAAACTTTGAATAGGAACGAGAGAGAGAGAGTGAGGCAGATAGACCAACCAGACACTTGCGCACACACAATAAACTTGAAAAATAGACTGAGTTTAAGTGAGTATGTAAAATAGAAATTTCAAATATAAACTCAAATTTTAATGTTCCCATTCATTCAAAACATTCAAAGCTTCTGCATCACTGAACAGCTTCAGGAGAGAGTTGCAAGCGTTTCTCAGTTGTACCAATTCCTTTTTTATTTCTTAATTTTAATTTTTAAATTGCTGTGTTATTTTGTTTGCTGTTCCTTTTCAAATGAAAACCACCCCCTGAAAGAAATCAGACCAATGTTTTAACAACGTAAGAGCCAGAAGCAGCAGTCCCTTGGGGGTACAAAAATTAGATAAGACTAAAATTAAAATATGGTATCACGAAGCTTACAATTTTAAGACCTGAGTAGCTATGAGCTATGTTTGGTTATTTTGAGTCATTTAAACTCTCCCAAGAGACTTTTTTGACCATCACAACTGACCAGAAAAAACTGTTCCCAACTAAAAGCAGACATACCATGTGACTCATCAGACTCAGATATTGTGTTAAACACACAGACCATTTGACTTCCGCAACCATGAGAAAACAGAGAAGGCATCCATCTCATTAAGATACCAGAATACAAAAAACTTTGAGGCAGGAAAGAAATTTGTATGTGGTAATGACCTTTATCATTAACACCTGAACAGCTTACTGCCTAAGCAATGAACAGGACCACACCATTTTATTGACTTGTGATCTTTAGAACACAATTCTGGATTATTGGGCAAACAAATCTAGGAGAGGGAAAAAATACCTAAAATGGAATAAAAAGCAAAGTGTATAGTTGGTTGTCATCAAGGATATCCTGTAATTCAAGTCAGCACACTGGCAAACACTCCCATAAATCAGTTTATAAGTTCAAATCTATTTAGCAACTTTCTAGACTTTACTACAGGTCTAAGATTGCAAATTTAGTTCATCAAGAGGCAAGGCTGGTAAAATCACAAAACTTGAATTCAATTTCAATTACAGAAGGTGGTCATCATTAAGTGATGTACAGACCATCTTATCTGTCATTAAGTGAGAGAGACTATATTCTCTAGTCCATCTCCCTCATTTTACAGAAGCGAAGCCCAAAGACATTCAGCTATTTGGTGGAAAAGCTTGGATTAGACCATGTCACTTAACCTTCAGGTAAAGCTCCCATTCTAGCTGAGAGTCCACAGTGCAGTGACCACTCCGGGACACTGTACTGCCCCTGCAGCAAAGTTGGATATCAGAACATTAATAGCCAGGGCTGAGTCCTGGATTACGTAGCATCTAATAGCCCTAACATTGATGTCCATATCTAACACTAAGTCACTGCTTCCTATCTTACAATTACTGATCTGTGGATCAAACAACTGGCTTCTGCCTGCCTTCTTTGGATGACCAAAAAAATGACAATTTTATCTCAAACTTGCTGGAAACCAAAATATTATGACTAAAGGTTTCTTGAAAGCTATTAAGATTTCAATTACAGAAGTTGATCACCATTCAGTGATGTAGATTTAGCCTGGGACTGTACCTCTAAATATGTATTTGACTCTAACTCTAAATATATATTTAGCTGTGTGCCCCAAAGTTAGAGTCTCAAAAATCTTATACAGTGTATGAGGTCATGGGAACTCCTTGTTCAGGACCCTTAGCATGAGGGCAACCTAAGTGTACATGTATTCAGATCTCTGGAATATGCCACAGGTAGTAAAGAACAGAGGGGAAAAAAAGATTTCTAAAATATAAAAATGCACTATTTTCTTTCCAAACTGGATATCTTCTGCCCCATATATAAAAATAAAATGTTTCATGTAAAAATATCCATAAGTATACAAATTGCAAAGTGAAAGTGACCTCACAATCCTACCTCCCATAATATCCAGTTTTAACTGTTGACTGAGAGACTGGAGTTACACTCCCTGGATTTAAATTCTGGCTCTGCCACTTACGAACTGTGAGAACTCTCAGGGTGTCAGTGTTCTTATCTACAAAACAGAGATAATGACAGCATATGAAAATTAATAACTAATGTTTATTGAGTGTTTTATAAAGCATAGGCATTGTTCCAAGTACTTAAAATATATTAACTGATTTTAATCAAGTGACTGATTGATATGTGTTAAAGTCCTTAGAATAGTGCCTAAGACTCAGACAACTGTTGCTATGTCCTTCCAAAACTTTAATGCATAAACACACACACACAGTTTTAACATAAATGGGCTATTAATACAAATAAGTTTTAATACAGCTTTAAAACAAATAAGCCATTGTGTAAACTGCTTTTTTGAAAGGTGTCTACGATCTTATAGACACCTTTCAATATTAATACAAATGGATCTACTTCATCCTTTTTAAGGAGCACATAGTAATAATAATTGCTAACATATAATGAGTTATTTTGTGCTAGACACTGTGCTTTATGTGTATCATTTCACTTAATCCTCATGATATCCTTAAAAAGCATGTGCCACTCTTTCGATTTATAGAAGACAAAAGTGAGACTTAGCTGGATTAAGTTACTTACCCAAAATCATACAGCTAGACATGGTGAAGCCAGCTTTTGAACCCTGGTTTCTCTTAAACGAAGCAATCAGGCATACTGGACCTTCTGTTAAGCGCCATAGTTTTAAACTAATGCCCACTAACAGATGTTTAGATGGTTTCCATTGTTAGGGGGTATTTTTAGTTATGCTGTAATAAACATCAAGGGTCACAGACTATGCACTCTTTCTCTTATTTCCTTATTATATACTTCCAGATGTGCAATTGTTGAGTCAAAGAACATTCACATTTCAAATTCTGATATACATGGCCAGCCTGCTTTCCAGAGAGACAGTACCAATTGACCATTAATAGTTATACAAGAGCATCAACACTAGGCAATGTCCATCTTTTTAAACTTTGTCAGTTTGATAGGTTTAAAAAAAAAAAAAAAAAAAAAAAAAAAAAAAACCTTAGTTTTGCTTATACATTCCTTTGATTACAATTACTTAAGCCTATTTTTATATATTTTAAGTAACTATTTCTTTTGTAAGCTGCATGATTTAAGACTGTTGCCCACTTTTCTATTGAAAAATTCATTATTTAAGAGATTCCAATTATAATTGAACAATGTAACTATCACAGGCCATTTTAAATAGCTGACATCATACCATAATGCCAATATTTAAATAATTTCAACTTATACAACAGAAGAAAAAGAATGTGCTTTAGCTCTTGCAGGAACTGTATTTATTACACGAGAAGTAGACATTTTCCTATAAATCAATAGGATCAAATCAAAACTACCATCACCCGACTCAAAAGTTGAGAATGTAAGTAGAAACAGTTTTCCAAACTAAGATTTTCTGTTATTTAGATGTGACATTAAGACTTCGTTGTTTATTTATTTGGACCAGCATATATCATTTCTTTTTAAAAATTAATGTCAGTTTACTCTGGTGTTCTGTTTTTGGTTTTGAGACAGAGTCTCCCTCTGTCACCCAGGCTGGAGTGCAATGGCGTGATCTTGGCTCACTGCAGCCTCTGCCTCCCAGGTTCAAGCAGTTCTCTGGTATCAGCTTCCCAAGTAGCTGAGATTACAGGCACCCATCACCATGCCCGGCTAATTTTTTGTATTTTTAGTGGAGATGAGGTTCCACCATGTTGGCCAGGCTTGTCTCAAACTCCTGACCTCAGGTGATCCACCGGTCTCGACCTCTCAAAGTGCTGGGATGACTGGCCTGAAACACCGTGCCTCGCCTCAATTTACTCTTTGACAGAAAACTTCCCAGCTTAGATCATGATTATCTGGAAATCAACTAAGCATTATCCTTATCTCCGTCCTTATCACCACTGTCGTCGTCATGGATACCATTTATAAAACACCTTCTCTGTGCCAGGCAGTACTGTGTACATTATCTTACGTAATCTTCACAACAACTCTCTGAGGTAGGTACTATTTCACCATTTTAGAAACGGGAAACCCGGGCTCAGAGAGGTTATTTACCAGAGGCCTCTCAACTCAAAAACGTCAGAGCAGGGATGTGAACCCTGCTCACGCTAAAGCTGTTCTAATGACCATGCCTACTTTTTACAACCAGAGTCAGTTAAATGAAGCTAAAGCCAAAAATAAGTCTGTAGCTTCCTAAAGGCAACTCAAGAGAATTACTGGTCTTCTCTTACATGATCACCTTACTTATTCTTAGTAAATCTTAAATGGTTTTATAATTCCTTGTTTTAAAGAAACCTAAAAGGATCAACTCGTCTAACCTTCTAACAAAGACAAGGCTGTGTTGCCGTGCCAGATTCAAACTGCCCTTCTTGCCCAAACAGCTCTGTACGCTTTTTAAAGAGTTTTATAATCTGTTGGAAATCTATGCAATTATTTCAGACTATTTAAAATATGTGTTGTCTATATTATGCTATCTTCACTTACTTACCTAAATAGGAAAAAAGTATCAGAATGCTTTCTACATGAACAGCAAGACTAACCAACGTTGAATGGCAGCCTGAATCCTGGCAAAGATGCCATCACAGGAGTCAGGGTTGAAGTCTAGGTTTAAGGTGCATCTAGATGGGTTCCCAGGACGCCTGAAGTAGCCTTAGGAGGCCCAAAAGAGAAAGCTCCGCTGGCACAGTCTCCTAATGGTGACAAAGGACTCCCTCTCAGCTGCTTGGCAGCCTTACAATCAGAGCGTTCTTACATCTAACCTAATTATTTCCCACTGAAATTCAAACCTAATTCATTTATTTTTTATTCTCTATAAAAATGAAAAACATCACTAGCGAGTAACTTGCTCAACATCTCACAAAAAATAAAGAAAAGGTAGCTGGAATAAGTACTGATTTTGATTCTCCTTCATTGCATAGTCAAAAGTTCTTATTTTGCTAAGGGAAGAATTGCTTATCTCCCTCAAGAAAACTGTGAAATTGATTTGAAAACAACATTGCCTTTCTGAAATGTTCATGACTACTATATATCTTAGAATTTAGAAACAGAAACCCTTCATAGTACTTTTAAAGGTCTTCTTGTAAAAATAATAACCATGGGTAACTTTTATCAACACTTCTGTGTTAGGTACAGTACTAAAAGTTTAACATGCATGATGTTCTTTGATCTTTACAGTTCTATAAAGTAGGTGCTTCCCACATTGACAAATAAGGAAGTAGGATTAGTTAAGTCATCATCCCAAAGACCTACAGCCAGTAAATGGAACCTGTCTCCCTAAGCTCAGAACCCTCAGCTATATGGTCTCTGATCAGACTTTTATTTTTCAAATGTGTAAGCTTCCCTTTTTAGGGTATGTTGTTCTAGAAAACATCAAGTTCTTTATAATGATTTGTATTTTTCTCATCTCTTTCATTATAACCCTTGCATAAAAACAACAACCTCAAGGTTTCACAAAGCTAAAGAGAGTCACACTTAAGAATGTAGCAAATTTTTTTTTTTTTTTTTGAGACGGGGTCTTGCTCTGTCGCCCAGGCTGGAGTGCAGTGGCACATTCTTGGCTCGCTGCAACCTCCGCCTCCCGGGTTCAAGCAATTCTCCCTCCTCAGCCTCCCGAGCAGCTGGGATTACAGGTGCCTGTCACCATGCCCAGTTAATTTTTGTATTTCTTCATAGAGACAGGGTTTCGCCATGTTGGCCAGAGGGGTCTTGAATGCCTGACCTCAGGTGATCTGCCTGCCTCGGCCTCCCAAAGTACTAGGAATTGCAGGCATGAGCCACCAAGCCCAGCCAGCATTTTTTTTTAAACTAAGGGAAAAAAATATGCGTACTAAGACTTAGAAGCCTGAATGTAAGCATAGAGTTTGTGCCAGAAACAGTCCATTTTGAGACTCTGTTTCTTTAATCTATTTAGACATTTATTATCACAGCTAAATCAACTATTTTATTTTCACAGCTGTATAATAAAAAGATGCTTCTTGACTTTCAATGGGGCTACATCATTGCTAAGTCAAAAGTGCATTTAATAGCGGTAGCAGAGCAGACATTCCCCAACTTACAAGTTTTCAACTTTATGATGGTCCGAAAATGGGGCACATTCAGTAGTAATCATAAGGACCTCCTTGATGGGCTTATATCCCAATAAACCCAAACTAAAGTTGAAAAATCCTAAGTCAGGGACTGTCTGTATTTTGACATCTATTTGGGCAGGCCCCTCCTCTTATGATTTAAACTATCCAGCCTCAGCTGATTTCAGTTTCAGGGCTGACTTTAACTACTTTGCCAAGGTATTTCTGCCAGCCAGGGGACAAGTATCCAAACTGAGAGTTAAGGTTTTTAAAGTCCTTTTAAAAAATTGCTTCCAAACTTACAGTGTCTGTTATTGATTATAGAAAACAAAATGAGATCTTCAACAAACCTAGTAGATCATGTTTGCAAGACACTTAGGCTTTCAGGGTGACCAAATAAAGACAAACCTTGAAGAAGCCAACTAAGCTAATAGTTTCATCGGCTTTAGGTAAGGCTTTAGGTACTAGCACCTAACAATGTACCAGGCAGTATGATAGTAGGAAGAGACCCAAATAGTAGGAGACATGATATGAGCATGCTAAGATCCTATAAAATTGTCGAAGAAAAAGTTAAGACTAACCCATATAAACAATTAGCACATAAACAATTAGCCTAGGTGGGCCTTTCTGATATAAGCAGGGCTTTAGAACAGGGGTAGATCAGTGTGGGCTGCAGTGCCCAGTAAAAACTAATAGATCAAATAGCTCAGCTCTAGCTTAGCTAAATGCCTAGTGGTAATCAAAATTTAGTGACAGCTATTCAGAAGTCCACATGAAAAGAAACAGTGATTATGTCAAGTTGGTTTATAAATCAAAGCTGGGCTACACTTACAGCCTTCCAATAAAAGGGCAAAGATCCTATAAGAAAGCATCTCTTAATTGCAGCAACTACTCTAGATCATATGCCTAAACTATGGCTAGCACTAGATTAATCCAATGGGAAAGCCCCATGCTTTGTGGCTTATAGGTTATTCAAAACCAGAATCTG